GCCCCCCCATATGGGTTATTTTAAATAAAAGACTTAAGAGACAACCTGTGCAAGGACACTCAGCCCTTCCCCTCTGCACCCCGAAATTTCCCATGTGAAAGATGCCCTCCCAGTGCCCAGAAGTAAAGAAACATCCTCATCACTGAGCTTGGAAATTTAGAGAGAGTGGTAAGAAAGACAGGAAAGCTGTGTAAATACCCCTTGTTACTTTTTACTAATTTACTACCCCAGCCCACATTCTTTCTAGAATTCCTTACTAGGTGTGTGCCTTAGCTGAGTCAGAGTGCCTGTCTGATAGAATTCCTTACTAATTGGAGCCCCCAAAGTGAAGTCTTCCTTGTCCTGTCAAGTCCTCCCAGATTCATTGTCTCTGTCTAAAAAGTACAAAAACTGCCTGCCATGGTCATTTCTTTAGGTCTCAATTTCATGACTGGGCCTCTGTGCACACTTCATAAAACTTTGGGATTTTTCTCCTGTTAATCTGTCTCGTGTCAATTTAATTCTTAGTCCAGCTGGAAGAACATGAAGGGTTGAAGAAGAATTTTTCCTTCCCTTCAGAAGCTAAAATAGTATTAAGTTCAAAAAAGTGACGCATTTAAAGAAAATCTGTTGAGTAAATAATATTATTTACAAAGGAAGTTGGCAAACATTGAGATGACATGTGGATTGCTAAAATTAGGGAAATATTGTCCTATGACCAAAAGAAGGGGAAGAAAATTATTTCTGCTTAAGACACCAGGGTTCCCCACTCCGGGGAGGAAAACAGGTCTCCTCTGGAGGGGTCAGTCCCCCACTCCTCAGTGTGGTCACCCTGGCTCCAGCCCCACGAGACCCTGGGACAGAGGGACGGCCCCCCAGAGGACCGGACCCCTGGCAGGATCGGCGGTAAGGCCCCTTGTACCTTCACGACGTCTTCGTCCGCAGACCTGCACTCCACAGCCTCCAACACGTCCACCACGGAGCCATCCTCCTGAATGCCCACGACCTTGACGGGAACCGCGACAGGCTTCCCCGTGAGGACGGCCGTGTTCAGCACCTCCGTATCCTGCACAGGAGAACAGAGGGCGCAGGTCACACACAAGGAAGCCCGCCAGTAGGCAGGGGTCACCGGCCTGACTAGTTATACTTTAGCTCACGTCCTGCCACTAAAACTCCATCTGCGTGGACCAACTCCCCAGGCCTCGCAACACAGAAATTCTGGAGTCAGAAGCATTCCGTCCCAGACTGAGCTCAGGAAACCTGACCGCTAGACCTCCTTCTCCACCCCCAGGGGCAGGGGCAGGGCAGGGTCACATCCCCCCAGGGCCCCTCCCGTCACCCCCCACATCCCAGCTTGCAGAGGGGCTCACACACTGCACGGGGTGCCTTCCAACATTCACCAGATCTCCACTCAAGGTCACCTGGTAAGTGACTGCCTATGCTCAGAGCTTATTAACACAACGAACATGGCCCTCAGTGTCATTTCAAATGAAGAAGACGAATAAGAGGGCGCCTGGGTGGCTCTGTCAGTTAAGTGGCCAACTCTGGATTTCAGCTCAGGTCATGATCTCAAGGCCGTGGGATCGGGCCCTGCGTGGGCTCTGCACTCAGCATGGAGTCTGCTTGTCCCTCTCCCTCACTCCCCCCACCCAGCCCCTCCCCCCGCTCACTCACTCTCTCTCTCTAATAAATAAAATCTTGAAAATAAAAAAAGAAGACAAATAACAGCACAAATAACAGAAGAGCACTAGTCCCAGAACATCAACCTCTGTACTCCCGAGCCCAGCGCCAGCACCCTTCCTCTTCCCCGAGCCTCCAAGGGCCCCCAGATCCCCTCCAAGCCCAGGGATCCGTGAGCTCTGGCTTCATGTTCTTTTCTCACTTCCTCTGCTGATTCCCGGGGTCCTGTAGGGTCCACCTTCATGACTTATGTCCTGCCTGTCACATACTTGCCATCTCCATGACCACCCCCCACAGACAGACTGTCCTCACTGGGACAGCCCCAGCGGCCCCCACCCATCTCCTGTGTCCACTCTCCCCACGACAGCTGAAGAGCATCTTTTACATCTCAACAGAATTCAGATCATCTCTCCCCTAGACTGAAACTCTTTGAAAGTGTCTTCCTCTTTGTTCTGAAGAGAGAGTCCTCACTGCCCGCCAGCGGTGATCTGACTCTGGCCCACCCTCTGGCCTCTCGTCCTTCCCACCGTCCCTCCCCACGGGGAGCCTCACGGACTTCTCCTACTTCTCTCCCACTGCAGTGCGCGTTCGGCGTGCCTCCTGCTCTTCCCCATGCAGAGCCCTCCACCACACCCGCCTCTGCTCCTGCCACCCTCCCATCCCAGCCTCCGGGCCCCCTTCTTCAGAGGAACGGGACTTTCCTGCCCTCCACAGTGTGAATGAGCACCACCAAGTGTGCCCTGCATGGGAACAGCCACCAATGCTCCCCTTATGTTTATCTGGTGTTTATGTTTCCATCTCTGACTATGCATCAGACTGTAAACTCCCCAAGGGTCTCAGCCACCTTTGTCCTGACCTGCCTTGCATCCACAGAACAAGGGACGGTATCTGGTGTGTGAGAAGCAGTGCAGAAGAGAGGTCACGGGCACGGATTCTGGACCTGGACTGCCTGGGTTTGAAACTGGCTCAGCCTCTGTTTCAGGGGATCTGCATTCATGGAAAGCGAGACTCAAGTGAAATAACCCAACATGGGTTTAATGACGCCTCCCACATAACCAGAGTCTGGAGGATCATGGCTGCTGCCTCTGGTCCAGTGACTCTACGAGGCCAGGGCTACTTCTCTGCGGTTCTCTTGGCCACTCCCTCAAGGAAACAAGATGGCATCCATCACACCAGCCATATGTCCACTGTCTCACCAGGGAGAAGGTGGGATGCGGAGGGAGTGCACCTGCTGCACCTGCCCCTTTCATCAGGAAGCCTAAAGCTTGTCATATATGGCCAGCCCACCTGCAGAAGAGGCTGGGAAAGTGGGCGTCTATAGTGGAGCCGGAGGGGGTGGCGGTGTGTAAATGGCTTTTTATCGTCCATTACCAGGTCTGCCACAAGTTACTTACCTCTCCCTGTGCCTGAGTTCCCTGATCTGGAATATGGGGATAATAAAAATATGTACCGTGTGATGACCTCATGAAGGTTTAATGAAACTATCTGTGTACAAAGCTTAGAACAGAATTGGCATAAAATGAGCAACAAGAGCTCAATAAATATAGGTATTGCCGTAGATGCTATGAAAGATTGGCTCCATGAATGAATTAAAGAACCACTGGGTAGGTTCACAAAGGGACTCTGCTGAAGATGCTCATACTTGTCTGAAGAGAAAGAGCCAACCGGAGAAGCCGGTGGGGAACTGGGCAATGTGGCTCAGCACTGAGATCCTCCAAACACTCAACAGTCGGCCCCACCAGAATCAACCCAATGGATGATTATTTCAAGTGCTCCTTTCACTCTTGGAGCCCCTAGCCTCAGCTCAAGCACTAAGTGGGTCCCACATTCAATTTTCTAAATCAGCCCCTCATTGTCCACCTTAAGCCTAAAGATGGGTAAGAGATGGAGTCAGTGAGTGATAATGATGATAATGATGATGATGATAGGCAGTGTTCCAAGTACTTTACATGCAATTAATTGCTCATTCAGTTTACTCAACAGCCCTCCCAATATAATTCCTAGTATTATAAGAATAGATTTATTATTCGTTGATAGTAAACCTGAAAAATAATAGCTACGTGTCAATAAAAAACATCAACTTTGTAATGAACAGTTGTAAACAATGCCAACCCAGTCTAAGAAAGATGAAAAAATAAGTTGGGATTTTTTACATATGCCCTCTCCTCTGAATGGACTCTCAAGGAGTTAAGTCCAAAAGCATATAACTCTAGTCCATGTTCCTGCGTATCCCGTTCCCACCAGGGACGTGGACTATATGTACCTTTGTATTTAAGAGGTACAGCAAGGACAGGAAGCAGGAAGCGCTGCAGAAGTTGAAATGAGGAGTCACCAAAGGTGGGACAGTGGTGTGGGTGTGGGTGTGATTACAGTGTATACAAAGAACAGAGACTGTATGGTGATTCCAGAACAAATGGCTAAATTCTACTCATAATGCAATGAAAAAATCTACATGGGTGTTTGCTGTATGTTATGGGCAGGCATTAATTCTGCCTGATGAGCATTCACGGATGCTGAACGTCCATCCAACCTTCTGTTTGTAATGACATTTTATTTTCCTTTGGGTATCATCCTACTCTGCTACCAATGAATGTGGCTTAGATGGTGCTGATCTCAGACCACAAAGTCAGGCTTCACAGATGAGCCCGCAAACCAAATCCGGCCCATTGAGGTATGCCAGTGTCATGTCCTCAAAGACTGATTCAAGTGAAATGCAAACAAAGGAAATCAAAGAGAAGAGTAGGATTAGACAGATTCTTGGGAAAGATTTCTGAGTTTCTGAATCCAGCTATATCTGTGTCTGCTATCTTTAGAAATTTCAATATATAAAATAAACTGTTTTACTTAAGCCAATTTTAATTGTAAGCCAACTTAAACTGAAAGTCTTGACAAATACACGTGAGAATAGGCAACATGCTAGGCTCTAAAATGAACACCAATCTCTGTAGAAGCTCACAGCCTTCAAGGAAGGCATCACAATAATTTTGCCTAACTGAGTTTCAAGGGAGGTGACTTTATTTCTCATAACAACCAATCACAACTGAACCAAGCTTATGATTTTATCTCAAATGCCTCTGCAGCTATATTTCTTCCTTTTGTTTTTGCCTATGTGACTGAGATTTTTGCAACCATGTTTCCCAGTGTCCATTAATGGCCTCCCCCAAATCCCAAAGGCAATCCTACCTGCCTCTGACACAATGAGAATGCAATTTATCTTGTTATATATTACATTTAAATCATTCCCTGGTGCCACAGACTGCTAAAAATTCACCATCTATCAAAATACAGGTCTTTTATTCTGCTCCTATTTGTGAAAGCTCTAGCTTTTATGTCTTGAAAGCATATTTATATTCCTTTATGAAGATGAGTTTCCATTAATGTTGCACACTACAGCAGCATCAGTGAAAATGGCAGAGTAAGGACATCCGAAAATTCTCTCCATAAAAGCAATGAGAAAACTGAAAAAAAAAAAATTCAAAATCAACTTTTTTAGAACTCTGGAAATAGGGGCACCTGGGTGGCTCAGTCATTAAGCGTCTGCCTTCAGCTCAGGTCATAATCCCAGGGTCCTGGGATCAAGTCCCACATCGGGATCCCTGCTCAGCGGGAAACCTGCTTCTCCCTCTCCCACTCCCGCTGCTTGTGTTCCCTCTCTTGCTGTGTCTCTCTCTGTCAAATAAATAAATAAAATCTTAAAAAAAAAAAAAGTCTGGAAATAAAAGAAAGTCTTATGCAACCAGGAGAGCATTTATTCAAGAAAAATGGCTGAATCTTGGTTTTAAAAAAAAGAGAACTTTGTGGCATTTTAACTTGATTTATTCCCATCCCCTACTTCTCAGCCCCACAGTAGCTTTAAAAAATTACAGCCCCACGTTCACAGTCAAAATCACTGGATTTGCAGTACAAAAGCCACTGGAGAGAGCAGATCAGGGCTGGAGACCTTTCAGACCCTAATTCCCAAAGAACTGCCATATCAGACTTGTCTGATATCCCCCTGGAAGATTCCCACTTGCAAGGCTGTCAGTATTTGACTGGACTCTGAGTTCACCCAGTGTGAAAAACTTTTACCCTAGCGGTATTTGTTAAAAGCAATGGTAGGCAATTGTTTAACTTCATAGCTGCCTGTGGGTGGTGAATAAAGTTTGGTGCAAAAAAAAGACCAACCCAAAAGCTTAAAAGGAAAAGATGATGAATGAGATGAGCAGAGGTGCTTTGAAAAGCTAATACCTGGGAAATCTATAAGACCATGCTTAATTTAGAGCTGTGTGCATGCCCAGGACTGTGTTCATACTCAAAAAAGACCTGAGAAGGCTCTAAGTTCTCACCTCTTGTTGACTTTGAGGTTCTATGAAAGCAGCAAGTGAAAGCTAAGGTAGAGCTGTCAAA